TTTTGGGTAGTTGGAAGAGGAATAAAAGAGTATTTGAGGGGATAGATGATGATAATGATTTGACATGATTAAGAATAGATGGTTTCGGACTCTTTGGTTTTTATTGCTACATCCTCTTTACTCTATAGAGGATTTAGGAGATTTTATTGATATTTTGGTATATATGTAAATACTTTGTATGCGGGTTGGCACCCACTTGATGCTGGTTATCAATGATAGTTTACACTTTTTATTTTAAGAAAAGGATAGCCAGCCAATTGGGGCGAGGCTTGTATTGTTGCCATTTATCTTCTTGTTTGTTAATTTCAGAAATAGAGGTTTTGCGATGGTATGCTGATGATTTTCATCTTTTCCAGGGTATCGGATGCACAAAAATCACCAAGGCCAGAAATGAAGGTTCCACGAGCGGGAATGCAGAGTCAAGATCCTACCTTGAAAAGAAGCTTGTATTTTGCTTTGGTTCATATATTGCAGCCCAGATGCTACTTCCTTTTGGTGAAGAAAATTTTCTTTCTTCTTCAGAGCTAATGCAAGCCCAGGAGGTGCATAATCTTATTCATAATACCTAATTGATATAATATCATTAAGCTACTGCACACAAGGAAGAGTGAAAAAATTTCAATTAGAAGCATTTCTTGCGCAACAGATAGCTACAAGGATGGTCATTCAGTATGGCTGGGGACCTGATGATAGCCCTGCAATTTACTACGCTAGCAATGCGGTACTCTTTCTCTTTTGAATAAATATGGTTGACAGAGGTGCAAGTTTATTGCCAAGATCAGCATACCACCTACTAAAATAGTCTGTCAAAATGATGTATTATTGTCATCCCAAACATTGTTCATGTGCAAAAGTTCAATATTTATCTTCAGTTAAACTGATGCATATCCTATTAACTGATAGTTGGCAGTTTGCACTTTTTTTTATCACTATTGACTTGGGGGACATACCTAATTGACGATCTCTTTGGTTGTTCTTGATCAATGGCATAGTTTACTGCTTTAAGCATGGGGAACACTCATGAATATGAAATGGCTGCAAAAGTTGAAAAGGTATGGTTGTGAGCCATCGCATGATGTCTATTCCACATTTGTTCCTTTCTTCTGCTTTGTTCTCGTCTTTAAATATGATGAGCTAAGCAGTTGTTAAAGATTGATATGTACCTTTTGTGTTCATGGCTTTTCTTAGATATACGATTTAGCATATCTAAGAGCAAAAGATATGCTTCAAAAAAATCGCCAAGTTCTGGAAAAGATTGTGGAGGAATTGCTCGACTTTGAAATCTTGACTGGAAAGGTAATGGATTCTCACCTTTGGACTATTTAAATCACCAAATATCACTCATAGTGAGTTGTTTCCTCTTTCCTGTTTGATTTAATGTTCTTTCTTTTTAGCTTTGAATATAGATTCATATTGTTTTGATTGCATATTACATATTAACTTGTTGCTTTAATATAGATTCATATTGTTTTGATTGCATATTAGATATATATATATACATTAAAGAAGATTGCATATTACATATTAACTTGTTGCTTTAATATAGATTCATATTGTTTTGATTGCATATTAGATATATATATATACATTAAAGAAGATTGCATATTACATATTAACTTGTTGCTTTCAGTTTTGCAAGTATCATTCATGTCATTGTTGGCTCTGCAGGATTTGAAAAGAATATTTGTTGAAAATGGTGCTATTCATGAGAAGGAACCATTTTTCCTCTCAAAAGTTGATTATAAAGAGGTACTCTATTTGACTCTTGGAAACTTTTTTCTTAAAGTTTAGCACTACATTCACTAAGTAGGTGTCACTCATGGTGTTATAATTCCATAGAATCCTTTTTTTTTTTGGAAAAAGGAAAATGCAGTATTACACACAAATCATCATGGGATGCCAAGCCACTCTTCGTGGTGTTATGAACTCGTAATTTATAAGATGTGTAGAAGTTCTAAATGCTTTGTGGTAAAGAAGCTATTTAGTTTTAGGGGGTAATCTTATGGCATTTCTCAATTCAGTGCATGAATAAATTGCCTTGATGACTCCAAGTATCATGAAAACTAGAAAAGGAAAGGGGAAAAAATATTAATTTCACTTAATGTGGCATTGTCACAGAGGCAAACACATGGGTTTTATTCTGTCTCTTGGTATTTCTTAAACCATCAAGGTTCGTGAATGTAAAGAAATGGGAAGACGGGTTGGGGAAAGTCTAAAATGAATTTTGCTCTTTAGAGGGAAAGATTAATACTTCACTGGCGTGGCTTTGGTTAGAATATACTGGCACAAAGTTTCAAAATGTATCACTTTCAGCTAATAAAATTCAAACCTATTTGCGAGAGTTTTATTTTACTTTATCTGAGTATCTGCGAGAAATGTATGTTCTAATATATTTGTAAAACAGGATGTCGAACACATATTCAGGTTTCGGACTCTGCCACTGTTTCCTAACCCTTTTAATCTTTCCATTACTTTCAGCCGTTGTCTAGCAGCTTTCTTGGAGATGGAGATTCATCAGAAGTTGCTCTTTTAGGTGCAACAACCTAAGTCAAACTGATAGGTAATCTTTACACTTTTACCTTCTTCAGATTTGAAGGTGAAAGCCCATTTTTGGCCAATGATCTTATTGATTCCCTTTCTCTAAAGTTATTTAACAGGTATGTTTTGGGTAGGAAATAGAAATCTGGTATGCAGAAAGTGGTTTTGGGTTAGGAGATGTCTACTTTGCCCTTCTGTATAATGATTTACGGCTGAACCTACATAGCTGAAACCCCAGCACCACTCCCCCTTCCCCCTCCTGAGTTGTTGTAAATTTTTATTTGTGTCAATAAAAAATGAGACATATTGATTTCATGCATTTCCACTTTGTAGATGAACCATTTTTTCTCCCTCTTGTGGCTTCTTTTTATTGACTTTGGAAGCCAGAGCATATTGCAAGTGGTGCTGAAAAGATCAGAAGAGGTTCTAACCTAGGCATTTCATGGTCTTGAATTTGGCCTAGAGCTGAACTAACTCTTCTATTGACCTAGATTATTAAAGAAATTATTTTCGTCAAAACAGTTTTTTGTTAGTTTTTATTCTCTGGCTGCTCCCTGATGAACAGAAGTACCAGAAAGGCAGAAAGAACAGAAGACATCTAATCTGTAAACCCTGCTTGCAGGAGAAAACAGTAGAGAAGTTTTGTGAAATCATGAATGAAATATCTTTGTAAAACTTTATTGATTTTAAATAGTTAGTGAATATTTATGAACATTTCTTTCCTTTGATTCCTCCCAACTGAACATACAACTGCAAAATCTAGTACGGCAGAAAAAAAAAAAAAGCAGAAATGAGAAGAATTACATAGAGCGGCTGCTGAAGAAGCAGGTCCTAGAGAAGCCCTATTACTGGCGAATCTCCAAAGATCTGCCTCTCTTTGCTGACATTCTGTCTGCATTTTGGCAAATGCTTTTCTTTCTAGGTTTTGCTTCTCCAAGCATTGTGATAATGTCCCTCATCGAAGGCCTGTCCTTTGGAAGTTTTGCGGTGCAGAGGAGTGCGATGCGAAGAACAAGAAGCATCTCTTCCTGGACATGTTTGCATTGGCCTGCAATGCTTGGATCTAATGCTGCGTCTAAGCCTCTGTTGCTCCTAACCCTTCTTCGAATCCATTCAACAATATCTATTGATTCTCCAAATGAAGGATCTACTGGCATCTTTCCTGTCAGGAGCTCTAGAAGTACAACGCCGAAACTGTAGATATCACTCTTTTCATCGACCTTCAATGTGTATCCGTACTCTGTTTACATAATAACCCGAAATATTTAATTACATTTTTGTGCTTATGTGTTTATAAGAATAAATTTTGATATTATATATAGAAGAAAGTACTGTAGATTACACTTTTTTCCAAATCTATCAGTTAACTTGTGCAAAAATGACAAACATGCTTGATAAATTGGTTGAGTTGCAGAATAAGTTTCTGAACAGATTTGGGAAGCAACTTACCAGGTGCAATATATCCATAAGATCCAGCTACCATTGAAACTGTCTCATTCTTGTGTAACATCATTCTTGCCAACCCAAAGTCTGCAATCCTTGCTTCAAGATTTGCATCAAGCAGTATGTTGTTAGACTTTATATCGCGGTGAATAACCGGAGGATTACAGTCGTTATGAAGGTAATTCAGGCCTTGTGCAACACCAACTGCAATGTTGTATCTGGACACCCAGTCTACCAGCAATTTTCCGGATTGTTTTCCGTGCAGTGCTGTCCCCAGGTTTCCATTTGGCATGTATTCGTATACCATCATCACGTCTGTCTCATTGTGCAAATATCCTAGCAGCCGGACAATGTTTCTGTGCCGGAGTCTTCCCAGAAGATTAACCTCTCCGAGCAGATCATCCCCATTTTCAATGTCAGTTTGCGATGATCTCCATAGCTTCTTAACTGCTACAACAACATGAGATCTACTGATTTCAGCCTTGTAAACAATGCCAGTTCCTCCCATGCCAATGATGTTTGATTCTTTTATGCAGGCTAGTATTTCACTGCTTGTGAAACTAACCCTCTGGAATGCTATTAGCCTCCAAGGCCATTCTTTACTGCTCTGCTTAAACCAATCTTGAAAGAAACTATTATACAGGTACCATCTTCTGTACAGCAATTTTCCAGCCAGAAATGCAATGCCAAGAGATAGTATCACCAGGATTCCGATGATAAACCCTGTTATGACATGATTAATATGCATTTTCTTCGGCTGGGCTGATACTGCTGCAATTCTTTGAGAACATGGTGGGAGTATGCCACCGCAAAGACCGGAATTTCCTATCAGATTGTTAGGATTTATGGTGACCAACAAGCCATTTGAGGGAACTAGACCCTCAAGCTTGTTGAATGACAAGTTGAGCATTTCCAAGGCCGGTGAAGTTCCTAAATTCTCGGGTATCTGGCCAGTCAACGAGTTGTTGGACAGATCAAGAATAGCCAATGTTGGCATCGTTACAACTCCTTTTGGAATTTCTCCTACCAGTTGATTGTTTCTAAGGTTTAGATTCACTAACTTCTCACACGAAACAATGCTGTCCGGAATTTCTCCAGAGAATTTGTTGCTCGAAAGATCAAGCATAGAAAGTGATGGATTGTCTTGAAAATGGGTTGGGATTTTTCCTACTAAGTTGTTGTAGGAAGCAATGAAGGTTTGAAGATTAGGGATGGAGAAAATTGTAGAAGGCAGAGATGATTCCAGGTGGTTCGACGAGACATCTATGAAAGAAAGCGATATAGACAAACCTATATCATCTGGAATCTGACCGGTGATATTATTGTTTGCTAATTCCAGCCTTTGGAGTTTTGGGAGATTGCCAAAACCAATTGGGATTTCCCTGGAGAGAATATTATTTTGAATTCGAACACGGATTAGTGACTTACAAGACGAGAGGCCTTTAGGGATGGAACCGGAGAACGTATTATTGAAGAGAATGAGCTTTGTAAGATTCCCAGAATCACACAAACCAGGAGGAATCTCACCTGACAATGCGTTTGATGATACATCTAACCATTGCAAAGGGGAGTTCTTTCCCAGGTTCACTGGCAATGGACCTGTCAAAGAATTCTTCCACAGCTCAAGTACCTCCAGATTAGTCAACTCACCAAGTCTGCTGGGAACTGGACCAGTCAGTTCATTGCACATCAAATTCAGAAGCTGCAGGCTCTTCAATTCTGCCAGTTCTACAGGGATCTCCCCTGAAATCTTATTGTCAGACAGATCAAGAAAACCAGCGATGTAGCATTACAAGTCTGCTGGAATCTTTCCTGTCAAACTGTTCTTGTACAAATAAACTGTGGTAAGCTTGTTTAGCATACCCAATTCAGAAGGAATCTGACCAGTGAGATTCCCAACTGCTAAATCCAGATACTGAAGATTACTGAGGTTGCCAAACTCTGCTGGGATTTCACCTTCGAACTGATTGTATCCAAGTATAATTGTTTCCAAAGAAGAAAGCTGCCCAAGCTCAGATGGTAACTTCCCAGTCAGATTGTTACCTGAAAGTCCAAGAAACTTCAGTTTCTGCAGATTCTTGAAAGAGCTGGAAATAGACCCTTCAAAGAAACTACCTCGGAAATCCATGATTTCCAGCATTGTTGCATTGCCAAGATCCTCAGGAAGAAACCCTGAGAAGTTATTGCTTGATGCATTAACATAAATCAGTCCTGATGCCTGCCCAAGACCAATTGGAAAGCTGCCAACAAAGTTGTTCAGACTCAAATCAATGCTCTGCAACGAGGTGAGATTGGACAGCAATTTCGGCAATGGAGAGGAAAAATCATTGCAGCATAAATTGAGAGAAGAAAGACTCTGCAACCCCTGAATATGATCGGATATGCTGCCATTGAGATTCATGTTAGAGAGGTCAAGCTTCTTCACAAAACCTCTAGAGTTGCATACAACACCAGTCCAGTTACAATGAACAAACTTCTGATCGTGAACTCCATTTCTGGGCATTCTCCAATCTCTAAGATTATTCATGGGATCTGCAAGGCTAGATCTTAATTCTAGTAAGATTGAAATTTCATCATGAACTGGTATTGTTTCGTCTCCATTAACAAAAACAAGAGAAAAACCAATATAACAGTAGAAAAAGATCAACAAGAAGAAGAAAAGAAAATGGGTATGCATTTTCTGTACTTCTGATCTTGAGTTTGTTTCCTCCTAATTGAATGTCATTTTGTAATACGAGGAACAAAGGAGGAAAAGGGCGTCAGGGAAGGTGATATAGGATTTTGTTGTTTGTGCTTAAGATATGATTAAGAATTAATTAATTTTTAATTTTAATTTAATGTTGAATTCGTGGGTTTTTGGGATTTGCACCAGCTAATCATCTGTTACTTAATGACTGTAAAGTTTTGGACTTATTACAAATCTCTCAGACACTGAAACATGGAGAGAATGTGTTTTTAGGTGATTACTAATTATGTTTTTAATTCTTTAATTATTGATTATGGTCAACCCTCCTAAGTAATTAACAACTAATAACTGAAACTCCCATGAGAATCAAATTCAGATTAAATAATTTTACAAAACCTTCTACTTTATTCCTTTCAAAAGAATAACTTCTATAGCTGAACTAATGATTAAAGAAAGAAAGTGTTTATTTTTTTATCATTACGCTAATTAAAATTAACTTGAACATGATTAATATATGGCATAAAAGAATCTCTCCATGTTGCAGTGTTGGAAAAAAGAACTTTTTTTGTCCTAAAAGACAACTTGGAGTTTTCATACATGACGTGTGTATATATATATATATATATATATATATAGATTGGCTAAACGTTGTGAAGTTGATAATTGAGAAACACAAACAATGATTGTGTAATGTAATTCTTATGGCCACAAAATATTATCAGAAACAATTGCAACCCATTTGTGAGATTTTCACATGCACCCATCTGGCTTCTCAACCATTTATTTTCAATTGAAAATTCTCAAATGTATCTAATCCATATATGTATATGTATGTATATATATATATATATATATAAAAGGGGCCGGGTAATAATTGAATCCATATAGAAGGTGGGAAGAGGAGGCCTGAGACCCATGTGCAGAAGGGCAGCTTCCCTTGTAGAAAAGTACACAAAATCACACCATTTGTTTGTTTTGTAGGGACACAATTATATGACACACGAGAGATATATATATCGGTGAATTATATGGATTAGTATGCATTTTGTGACCAATTCAGAACCAAATGTAATTGCAAAATTAGGTTCCCCACATGGGTTTATGCTTAAAACCCACCTCCCTCCATCAATCAGTTCATGATTACATACCAAATTACTTGTATGCTTTTTTTTTTCTTGTATTTATTCCTTTGGTTTATGGGATGAAAGTAACTATATATATATATATATATATGTATCCAATCTACCTTTCTTTGGAGGGGGATCCACAGCTCCTTTTTTTTAAACTCTGATTTACTTATTTATATATAGTTATTATTTATCTTTTTAGAAGTTTAATTTTTTTTTTTTTGAAAATTGCATACACTCATCATATTATTAAGTTCTTATCAACATCTACTTAAAACAAAACAAACAAAAAAAACAAATTATCAACATAATTATTATATTTATTGAAAAATATAGAAACTTTCCTCCCCAATCAACCACCAATCAGTAGATACTCTCCTGGGGTCTCAATCCCACAATTTCTATTCTACCATCCATGGCTCATGTTTGAAGCAGGACTCTTCAAAGATGTGAAGTGATAACCACCTATTGATTTATACAAATACTTCAGCAGATAAAAGGGAAAAAGGGATTTAATCCAAACATGATTTGCCGTGTAGAGTTTTCTTACAGTGTCGGTTCACGCGAATCCTCATCGTGTTAACATAAACAAAGAACTTTGTCTACTTTTTCTGAAAGAAGAAACAGAGCATAAAACAAAGAATTTGTTAGATAGATCCTTTCCTGAAAACAACCATACTGATAAATCTTCTTCTCGATATCGGTTTCATCCCTCAGCGCCTTGCGAATACTATTCTCTTTTCCTTTCCTTTCGAATAAAAAGTTGGAAGCAACCAAGCTCAACTATTTGCCAAATAACATATCCAAAATATTTGGAGCTTAAGCATGTCCAACGTTACATCACCTACGGGTGTTAACCAAAAGAAAAAAAAGAACAAGAAGTGCCATATACTCCATCAAAGTCTCAACATATTTCTAGGGTTTATCCACAAAAAGTTACCAAAACAACAATTAAAAAAAAAAAAAAAACTCTTGACTAGAATATACTGAAGATATCAACAAAAACACATTGCAGAATATTGGGCTTCAAAAAGATATTAATCCGATCCGAGAGTAAAAGTTGGTGATTCTATGCAGCAAGTGTAAATTGTGTAACATAAACTATCTAATTGTTTACCATCTTTCTATAGTTCTTGATTTTCATTGGGAGTTGAGTAGAACTGCAAAGCCAAGTCCTTGAAAATCTGAAGCATGGCTTTCAAGTCATTACTCCCTAATTCAAGGCAGTCCTTCAATAGTCCTCCCTCAATGACCTCTTTTTGCATTGTTTCCACCATTTCCCTAAGTGTTCCCTGTTAGTACCACCCAAAACATTCAATCGACTAAAAATGAAAAAAAAAAATGGTCTCAAATGAAATAAGGCATCCTTTTTTATCTGTGGTTCCATGAGGTGTATAATTGAATAGTGAAAATCAATGTATTTCTTTTTGTCTTACAACAAATGAAATGGGGAGGACATCACCGTGCAAAGGTGCCTGCTCCAAAATTGAAATAATACTTAACAGCAATGCGAATTATCTAATTTAAAGGAGAAATTATATAAAGAAATAAACACAATATCAATCAATAAAGAGGAACATGCTTTTTGGAGGACAAACTATAAGGAAAAAGTCTAGCTTCTGTTTTGTCAAAAAACTGTTCATATGGATTATGGTATTATCATCTTACAAGAGACCAAGTTATAATAATAGCATCATCTGGTAATAATATTATGATTAGAAAGAAATCATCGTGAAACTAGTTTATCAGTATCTCATTTAACAAGTTCATAGCATCATTAAACTGCAACCAAGTTATAATCATAGCATCATCTGGAAATAATATTATGATTAGAAAGAAATCACCATGAAACTAGTTTATCAGTATCTCATATAACAAGTTCATAGCATCATTAAATTGCAAGAAAATTATGTTTGATGTGGTCATAGCTAGCAAGTATAAAGAACAACAGATAAATTGTACCGATTTAGCAAACACTTTGAGCAGCCTATGAAGCATGCGACGTGAAATCCTAAGGACATTTCCATAATTCTGTGCAAACCAAGCAGCTCTGTTGGCATCTGAGTTTGCCTGAGTCAGCTCGCTAAGAAAGCCCATCAATTCGTTTACATCTGCAATGGCACCATGTATTTCCCTGTGTTCCAAATCTCTCCAGGCATAGTTCCTTAGATAGTCCCACCCAGCTGACCATGCCAGCCCCCAAAAACCCAACCCAAGCACACGCTCAAGCTTCTCAGCCACACCCTTGGCCCAGGCCGAGCCTGCAAGATCACCACGTGCAGCACGTAAATTTGCCACACGCATGAGAAGGGATTGACTAAGGGAGAAGAGGCTTTTGTACTGAAAGTAGGAAATGGAGTGAATGGTTGGTGGCAAGGTGGTACTGAAGAGAATGAGAAAGAGTACAGTCATGGAAGACAGTGTACTCTTGGCCATTTGTTTTACCCTTTTTGGATGTTAGGCCTTGAGGAGGTATATCATAAGGTGGAAAATGGTGGACTTCTGTTATCGTTGCAGATCAGAATCATTTGTATTGTGGTTATGACCATAATCTGAAAGAACCAAACAGCAAAAATGCCTGAATTCCTCGATCCATTTGACAATCAAATAGAAGCTTTTAAAGCTCAAGACTTGGCAAATTGTGTTCAGTTACTTGTTTTGCAAATAACTGAAAGCCCCGTTTTAAAATTCCAGACCTTGCAAACATTTATATTCAGTTACTCTTTTGCCAAAAAATAAACAAATAAAAAAATAAATATATAAGAAAAAAAAAACTTAAAATCCCAATTTTTTACACACATTTGACTTACACATACAGAGATTGATATACCAATTTAAAAAATAAAAAAATTAACTATATATATATATACATAATTCCTAATTATAGAAGTACATGAAATGAAGACAATCAGCATAACAACAAAGTATAGTCTGATAAAATAAATTACATGAGTATCCACAATCCTTTTATGGCTGTTACAATCATTTTAAGAAAAAGCAGAAATACTCTTAGAGCTTAGGGAGTTTCAACATAAAAAGTTGGTGGGTTTACTTTTGTAATTAACTCAACTTAAAAAAATTGTAATCAACAAAGGGATAATCAAATCAATTTAACAGTATCTAAACACATAAAAATTAAATATGCCAAATGTAAAAGAAATATCCTAGAGAAAACAATTTGACTTAACTGAACCAACTATAGAACGCATTAAATTCATAATTTAACCCCAACCTATAATCTGGCAGATTTCATTTCTAGCCATCTCCAAATCAAATTGAACAATTATCATGTTATCTTCCAATTAGATTGGGAGACATGTGAGACTGGAAGTAAATACACCTAGGGTAAGCAAAGGAAGCACCTGACAGGGCTCTTTACAAGCTACTCTCTTAGCACCAAGACAGTAACTTCATGAAGCATTAACTCATAGGGTTTTCACTCTTACAAAATCTGAATATATATATATCACGAACTCGTTGGAGGTGTTCATCAAACACCTACAGGCCATTTCCGAAATTTCAACCCTCAGTCTCACCAAACTTGATCAGTAAAGCTCTCAAATCGTCCAAAACCCGAAAGAAGCTCGGTAAAACAATTATACATGAAATGGAAGGAGAATCAAACCAAAAGCAGTGTCATAAAATACTGAATTTGAACAAAGAGTGGAAGAGAAACCACAGCAAGTTCACCGTTCTCACCAGGAGAAGACGAGAGAAGGGAGTCCGCGAAGATGCAAGTGACACCAGTTAGGAACAGAGGAGAAGAAAGTGACTGATGGAGGAAAATTACTCTTATTTTTCTTATTGTATTCATGGACAACAAAAGGCTATATACAGCTTGTACAATGGCAAAGAGAAAAAGATAAAAATGGTTACAACAACTAATTAATTAAAAAAAGCTATAATTAACAAACTAATTTACTTTGATTAATAATTAATCTTAATACTCCCCCTCAAGATGGAGAGTACAAATTTATTGCACCCATCTTGTTCAATAAATTATCAAACTGCGTAGGATGCTTTTGTCATTAAATCTGCAAGTTGATTGCGAGTGGAAATATGTATTGTTTTTAAGGTACCATCTTGAATTTTTTCTTGGACAAAATGACAGTCAAGTTCAATATGTTTTATTCTCTCATGATACACTGGATTCGAAGCAATGTGTAGAGCTGCCTGATTATCACAGTAAAGTAATGTAGGACCTTGATATTTCACCTTTAAATCTCGTAACAAATTCAGAATCCACACTATTTCACATGTAGTATTGGTCGTGGAACGATACTCGGCTTCTGCAGATGATCGAGATACAACTTGTTGTTTCTTTGATTTCCATGAGACTAATGAAGATCTAAAAAAACACAATAATCAGTCAGAGATCTTCTAGTGTCAAGACATGTGCCCCAATCAGAATCAGAAAAAGCCTTAATTTGAATGGTAGATGATGAAGGAAAGAAGAGACCCTGTCCAGGTGTTCTCTTGATGTACTGAAGAATCCACAAAGCAACCTGAAGGTGACTGGTCCTGGGAGCAACTAAGAACTGACTCAGTCTATTAACAGAATAGCATATATCAGGACGAGTGATGGTCAAGTACAACAATTTTCCAATCAGTCGCCAATAACTTGTAATATTACACAGAGGTTCTCCATCATCTTTGCATATCTTAATATTGGGTTCCATGAGTAGATGAGGGCTTACAACCAAGGTATCCAGTTTTAGTTAACAGATCCGAAGCATATTTTCTTTGACATAAGGTGATTCCTGTGTCATTTCTTGCAATTTCAAGTCCAAGAAAATATCGGAGAGTTCCCAAATCTTTCATCTTAAATTTTTGTTTGAGTGTAACTTTGAGTTCTTCGACGACATGATTATCATTACCAGCAATAACAATATCATCAACATATACCGACAATGCTAGAAAAACATTACCCTGATGCTTGACAAACAAGGAGTGGTCACATTGTGACTGATGGAAACCTTTTTGAAGTAATACTTGTGAGAACTTGTGAAACCACTGTCGGGAAGCCTGTTTCAACCTATAGATTGACTTGTGTAGCCGGCAAACAGGTTGATGTGGAATGTCTCCTCCTCTCAAGGAGAATAGCCGGGAGGAATATTCATATAAACTTCTTCGTGAAGGTCACCATGAAGAAAAGCATTAGTGACGTCTAACCGAGTCAGACTCCAACCATGAATAACAGCCAATGAAATCAAAATTTTTACAGTAATCAATTTTGCAACTGGAGAGAAAGTGTCAATGAAATCAATGCCAAATTGTTGTGTGTAGCCCTTACCAACCAGACAGGCTTTGTGTCTCTCTACGGTCCAATCGACTTGATATTTAAATTTATAAACCCACTTACAATCAACATATTTCTTCCCAGGTGGAAGAGAAACAACAAACCAAGTATTATTATTCTCCAAAGCACGTAGCTCCACATTCATAGCGGTCCTCCAATCATTAGATTGGACAGCCTCAGAGAAGGTGGTAGGCTCAGTATGGGAGGAAATGGCAAAAATAAAGTTGTAATATTGAGGTGTAAGCTTTGTATAAGTAAAGAAGGAGGAAATGGGGTAAAGTGCATGTGTATCTGTATGATAGCAGTGATAGTCAGATAAATAAGAAGGTGGTCGTGTAACAAGCAGAGGTCGAAGTGGTGGGGTTTGGGACGAGTCATACGGTGAGTGGGTAGGTGAATCAAGAGAAACTGGTGAGTGTGTAGGTGTATGGAGAGGAAGAGGTAAAACACGGTCATGAAAAAGGTCATTGTGAATGGGACTGGGTGAGTGGGATGAAAGAAATGGAAAGATATGTTCATGAAAAATGACGTTTCGAGAGATGATGATTTGATTGCTCTCGATACCGAGAAGTTTATATCCTTTATAACCCGAAGGGTAACTGAGGAAGACATAAGCTCTAGAATAAGGTGAAAATTTAGGCGATGACTATCGAAAGTGAAGCAATAGCATAGACAACCAAAGGTACGCAAATGATCATAAGATGATTTTTTATGAGTTAATAGTTCAAATGGAGTTTTGTTAGATAACAAGGGGGAAGGTGTACGGTTGATCAGATAAACAGCGATCAAGACGCAATCGTCCCAATAGACAATAGGGACATGGGACTGAAATAGTAAAGCACGTGCCACATTTAAAATGTGTTGATATTTGCACTCGACAACTAAGTTTTGTTGAGGAGTCTCAACACAGGAATGATAAGAAACAATGCCTTTTGACTTGAAAAATGAATGAAAACTCAACTCATGCGCATTGTCAGATCTCACAGATTTAATAGAAATTTGATATTGGGTAAGGATGAGAGTATAAAAATCAAGAAAAATGGTAAGAACATCCGACTTTTAACGAAGAAGATACACCCAAGTAGTGCGAGTGCAATCATCAACAATGGTAAGAAAATATTTGTATCCCTCGATAATAGGTGTAGAAAAAGGACCCCAAATATCAATGTAGATTAAATCAAATGGACGAGTAAATAATTTATTGTGAGAAACAAAAGACAATTTACGTTGTTTAGCCAAATGACAAATTTTGCAATGAGAAATATTCGAAATTTGTAAATCTTTATTAATGTACTGAAGTTTCACATAGGAATGATGACCCATTCTAAAGTGCCATAGGCTACTTTTCGAATTAGTGGAAACATAATTAATATGGTGAAAATGAAAATGTCTAATAATTAAGTAGTAGAGGTTGCCAATATGTCTACCCTTCCCAATCAACAAATCCCGAGTGTGGTACTGGATGACACAAGAATGAAGAAAAAAATTAACCGTACAGTTGTGGGTGGTGGTCAACATGCCGGCATTGACAAGGTTAAAGGAAAAATGAGAGACAAATAAGACATCGTGTAGGGTTAGGGTGTCAGTGAGAAACACATTTCTAAGTTGAGTGACTAGCACTGAACTACCATTTGGTAAAGTAACTGGGATGGGTTCAACATGCTTAAGGGTTGTGAAAAGGGTGGGTGTGCAACATATGTGATGTGTGGCTCCAGAGTCAATAATCCAGTATTTAGAGATAAGTGTGTGTGTGAAACTGGAAAAGCAGAATCTTATGGGTGATATACCTGCCGCGTGAAGGCCAGAAGTGGCATTATTGGTGGGAGGAGAGAAGCTGTTTGGCGAGATGGCAGAGTGCGGTTGATAGAGCCGTGCGCTTAGGTGGGCAATAATATTCTAAATTTGCGACGTGCTTAATGCATCGACCGAGGCAGCAGAATCAAGCGCCGGCAAGCAGGCAATGACAGAGGCGAAGTGAGAAAGAACGTACTTCGAATTGAAGAAACATAGCGAATTCAGCATTTCTCCAATGCCGCAGGAGGAAAAATTTATATATATATATATGCATTGACCTGGCTTTGGAATTTTGTTTTTTTTTTTATTTATTTATTTATTAAGTTTTTTTAAAAAAATTATAATATTATGTAAAATAATTAATTATTATATCAAAATTATCATAGAAAATAATAAACATTGAATTGAATGTGAACCTACACTGAAAAACTTATAATTATTCCTAAATAATAATTTAATACAATTTGTAATTTCATATTTAACTAAGTTTTTTTAATTATTTCTTTACAGACAAATAAAAATTAATATTATTTCAAGAGGTTTAATTTAGTGAATTAAGTATGTTTAGAGTATAATTTTTTTTAATTATCTTATTTAAAACAAATGAATTTTTATTTAAGAAATTATTAGTGAAGATATAAAAGTTATTTTGTACAAGTTTGATAAAATCTATATATTTATTACAAATATTTTTATATGTAAAATTCAATAAGATATTAAGAAAATAATTAATGAAATTAGTATAGAAAAAAAAGACCTAAAAATTTAATAATATATTGTTTTCTTTAAATTTTTTAAAACTTAAAATAATGATGAATTACATTAATTTGATTACATTTTTTTTAATTTTTAAAATTTATAGATATTTATTCCTCACGTACACAAATAATCTCAAGAGTTAAATATAATTTACAAAAAATTAAAATATATTTATATTTTAATTTCTTATTATTTGAAAATTTTTTAGTTTAAAAATATGTAATTTTTTTACTAATTAATATTAGTCAAATTGTTTAATAAGTACGTAATTGAAAACAGAGAGCTCAAGAATGATAAAATTTAAAATTAAAAAAAGATTAGGGGATTAAATTAAAATTTAACTAAAATATTATTAGCAGCTTATATAGAAACTGAATTGTAATTTTCGAAAAATATGGGGACTTCTTTGTAATTTCACGAAATAGTTTCCTTAAGCCCAACTGCAGGCAATTTCCACTGACCGACCAGACTTCGAACTCCCAGTTCAAACATGAGACAACTTGAAAAGTCAAAAACTAGAAGGAAATGAGCAAATTCAAAACTCTTCTTCAACGTACACATACAAAATCATCAGAATCTAAGTTTCTTTCCTTCTCGAGAAAATCCTAGTAATTTTCTCGAGAAAGTATATTGACCAAATTTATGATGAAATTAACTTTAAATCTTTGTGTTGTATTTCTGGTTCTTTTGGTTTCGATTCAATCCGGAGCTTTGTTCGGATCTGCATCCACTGACGAAGCTTACGCGACGCTGTTGTACGGAGATGAGTTCGTGTTGGGAGTTAGGGTTTTGGGGAAATCGATACGAGTTACTGGATCTAAGAAGGACATGGTCGTTTTAGTCTCTGATGGTGTCTCCGATTACGCGAAGAAGCTCCTCCAGGTAGGAATTACTTTTCCTGTTTGGTTCCTGGTAAACTTGATGTAAAGGACGGGAATTGTTTAGTTCTTTCTTTATTCTGTTTTATTCGTAAAGAAACCTTATTTTTTACTAAAAAAGAAATGAGTTTCTGTATAGTTGCCGGGAAATTCGGATATGAATTTTTCTTGTTTCTATGCTATATATGGTAATTGTTTACAGGAAAACTCAGTTGAGAAGAAGTAGATGTTAGTAGTTTGATTATTTATATTTTGACCTTTTTTCCAGGTAAGGAAATGCATGAGGTTTATTTAACGAATACTTCATTTCTGAGAAAATAGAGAAGAGTAAATTAGTGAACATTTATCTGTTGTGTTTCTTTGTTTTGCATTTAGCTTGAAGCTGATAGGAGTTGGTTCCAGACCATGGTTTTGTTGAGTTTACGTGGTTTGATGATTTGGTAGCTGTATATTGTTTATGCTACTATCTAGACACATCAAGTTTCTTTCTTTTATATATATATATATATATATATATATATATATTTTTTTTTTTTGGACCTGAAACAGAAATTACACAATGGGTTTAGTGGAAGATACGATCTTTTGGCGATACTGACAATTGTATTTCATTTTGCAGGCTGATGGGTGGATTGTGGAGATGATTAGTTTACTTGTGAATCCAAATCAAGTTCGTCCAAAGAGGTTTTGGGGTGTCTATACAAAGTTGAAAATCTTTAACATGACTAACTACAAGAAAGGTAGGTTTAAGATAGTAAAAGGGCATAGATTTTTTCACTTTGTTACGGAATCAAATCTTTACGAAGCAAAGATTGAACCATATGGCACTATGAACTTATGATGTGTTTGAACCATATGGCACTATGAACTTATGATGTGTTTGTCAGTTTTCTTTAGCAGAATAAAAGCTGAACTTCAATTCTTTATCTTTGAAATAACTTCTTCCCTCTGTTTATTTGCTATTCAAAAGAGTTTAAGCTAGAGGTTTCGAACTTCATTTGTTAAGCATGTACCAATGTTAAACGCAATTTAGTTAGATATTCATTTTCCCCATGCTTCATGACATAGATATATGGTTTTGATTTTTGTATACCTTGTTGTTGCTCACGCTCCCTTGACTAAAGTTGACCAAGAAAAATAAATATAGTTCTTTCTCTCTCACTCAATTGTCTCAATTTGTAGGTTATAGCAGTAGTAGATTATGGTAATTAATTTCGAAACTTTTTTCGGTGCAGTTGTATATCTTGATGCAGATACAATTGTAGTTAAAAGCATTGAGGATCTTTTTAAATGTCAAAAGTTCTGTGCAAATTTGAAACACTCAGAGAGGCTGAACTCAGGAGTCCTGGTAGTGGAACCATCTGAAGCATTGTTCAACGACATGATGGCCAAAGTGAAGATTTTGCCATCTTACACTGGAGGAGATCAGGGGTTCTTAAATTCATATTATTCTGACTTTCCCAATGCCCATGTATTTGATCCAAGTGTGTCGGTTGAGGTGCTGAATTCTAGATCTCCTCCAAAAATGGAGCGGCTCTCTACACTTTATAATGCAGATGTTGGTCTTTACATGCTTGCTAACAAGGTACTAAGGCTATACTTAATGCTAGGCTGATGTTTTACATCATTCCAAAGGGCCATGGTTGGTTCTAATATTTTGACTGCCAGAATAGTTAATGATACTTGCTGCTACTTTTCTTTGCATGTAGCAATGTAAGGAGTGGAATATCATGACAGACATTTATAACTTCAGTCTTTGTTTTCAATTGATTTGCTCATTCCAATGCATGTTTTCTGTCATAGCATGAGACTATACTTTATTTGAGCTAGGATTTACTTTAGAAACTGCATAGGTGAAAAATCTTTTTGCAAAAATAACTGGGTTCTGGATCTTCTTTGTTCCCTTGTTTTCTTTGTTAGATTCTAATTTTCTTTTATGCATCATTCACAGTGGATGGTAGATGAAAGTGAACTCCGTGTTATTCACTATACACTTGGGCCCCTTAAGCCTTGGGACTGGTGGACATCTTGGCTCTTAAAACCTGTTGATGTCTGGCAGGTATTATCTCTTTATAAATTATCATTTCAACTTTCCGATTCTTTTCTTTTGTACTGTCATATTATTATTTTGTTTTTATTTCTTTCTGTTTAGTGTTGGTGTGTGTGTTTTCCTCTTTTTTTCCGTTGGGGGTGGTAGGTGGGATGTTCTCTTGTTTTATTTGAATTGCTTGTCCACCTTAAAATTTACTTACCATTTTGCTATTCCCCACTCAGGAAAAGCATAAAAATATGCATCACTTTTCTTTATAATTTTGTTTTTTCATGATTATGCCAGAATATCAGGGAAAGGCTTGAAGAAACCCTTCCAGGAACCGGAGAGGGAAGAAACCCTAGTGATGAACATGTTGTGAAACTTCTCTTCCTGATACCTTTTTGTGCTCTACTTTTGTGTTACTACCGAACCATTCTTCAGGTTAGATTTTGCTTCTTACTCTGATCCTCGGGCTTGTAGGTAGTTGTTATTGGATCTCAGTTTGTGTTACTCTTGGTGGCAGGCAAGAGAGTTCTTTGGTTCAGTTTATAGAAGTTCATTATGTAACCAGATCAGACATCTTTATTACAAAATTAGATCCAGTGGAACACTTGCTTATAGCAGTGTTTCTGCGTCCTCCGCCATTGATTCCAACCATCAAGTTAGTTTCTTCTTCCAATTTTGTTACTTCCAATTTTGTTAAGTTTGGTGGTTCTTTTATCCCCTTAAATTAACATTCTGTTATTAATTTCGCAACAGTGTATGAGCACTTAATGAGTGCCATAATTCTTTTCTGAGCGATATAATGTTTCTGTATTTGCAGTACATCAATGCTGCACAGTCTAAGGTTCCTGCTTATCTTGGAGGAGTTTCAATCTTTCTGTGTCTCACATTCGCTGTTGTGTCCCTCGGTCTTGCTCTTTCAATTGTGCCCCGGCAAGTGATGCCATGGACTGGTTTGCTTTTGATGTATGAATGGACTTTTACAATCTTCTTTTTTCTGTTTGGTGGTTTCCTCCATTTGGTTAATCAATGGGGAAAGAGAATGGCACTTCAAGCAGGATCATTTTCATCTCATACAGAGTCTTTGAATTACGATTCTGGAAAAGGTACTATAGTGCGGAGAAGGCTATGCACTGAATTTGGAATCCAGTGCAGAACATATGCACATTAGTTTCTCTAGTAGTTTTAATAAACTCATAGTTCTTGTACGCCTTTTCAGGTCATCAACGGCAAACATCTTCTTGTGATGTTGCTTCATGGTTTTATGGGTTAGGTATGGCATTTCTGGCTGTTGCTGTCCCATCTTTACCCTGTCTTTTTGGGATTACTGCATTGTTTGCAAGGTAAGTTATTTTGACCACAATTTGTTGTTACTATTGAGAACATGTTCTGTTTCTTTGGTTTTGTACAAGACATCACGATTGTCCAGATTCCAATTATTCGGTTTTTTTTCCTACATACTTGTGATGGTTGGATTTAATTTAACCTGATAACCTTCTTGTTTTCTGGATCGAATGTGCCCCTACCATTTCTCACCTAAATTCTTAGGCCATTTCGTTTCTGTAGTTCAGTTTGATGACTACAGATGAATTTGAGTAATTACTTCTGTATTGAGGTTGTACTACTGTTGAACTTGGTCTATTCCTCGGTTTTCTGTGGTACACCAACATAATGAAGATTGCTTTGTTAATCATGGTCAATGCTCATTGTAGTTTTCCTATTGTAGTTTTCCTAATGAGACTTAAGTTAGTATGAGTGTAATTACTAATATGGACCTGCTTGTACTTTGGTTGCATCTTCCTATCCCTGAATCTGTATTATTTCGTATATGTTCCATCTCTGTATATGACCACGGATTTTAAGCGCCTTTGTTGCTGAATTGCATTTTTCTTCATCTCCTAAAGCAAGCATATGCAGAACTCATTGCTAGGCTACCTATCATGAACCCCGCCAGAGATTTTCTGGATTATCTTGCACATCATATATTTCTTTTTCTGCTGTTCTGCAGACGTTGCACAGCAGTGTCAAGCATTTTTCAGAACCTCTTGTAAAATTTTTCTGTTTCTAGTTAAATTTCTTTACCGTCCTTGTGAACGGTCCCACCGTTGCTTCTATTGTTTCATACAATGGAATCGATGAACAAGTTTCTTTTTCTTCGTTTTTTTTTTACTCTCGCATTGAAGTCTTTTCGTAACTTAAAATAGAAAAGGAAAAAGCTAAAGGAGAAGTCAAGTTAATATAATGGATTCTTGCTTTTAACAGGTTAGGTTTGATGGTCGTGGGAGGCCTAGTTTTGGCATCTTACATGACACATGCTGCAGAGCACCTAGCAATTAGATCATTCTTGAGAGGCCTCGACGATCGAGACCCAACACGAACACGAAATCCATGCATGTTTTGTTGATGGAAATCGTCGAAGTTCAGATGTAAGTTTTACGGCAGAGTAATTTCACTTCAACTTGTAATTTATTTAACCTATGATTTGTAAAAATTTTGTGTAATGCTATCAGAAAAGAAATGTTCTTATTACCCCTTACTTTTCAAATGAGGGTTTATTTTTTTGATAGTTGCTTCCAAGAACTACTAATTTCAAATTTAATATAGCCGTAGCCATCAAGGAGTTCAAAAATTCATTGCAATGTCAAAATCAAAATTATGAAATACATTATTCTTTATCTTTGGATTCAATGTAATTATATTAAAAGTAAGATATATGTTAAAATTTTAGAATCAATTATTTCTATATATTATTAATAATATTATATAAATCAAAATTAAGATAATTATGAACGAATAAAATAAAATTATGTGAATTTTTTTAAATACTTACATAATAAATTACATATTTATTAAGTTAAAGATATAAATATCAATTAAGATATTTATTATGATAATAATTTAATATTTAAAAAAGAATAAAATTATTTTTTATTTTTTATTTTTGAGTTATATTAGATTAAAGAAAATTAATTTAAATAATTTACATTAAACATTATCAAATATAATTGATGTTTTCTAAAAAAAAAAGGTTCTTGTTATTTTTTTAATATAAATAAAATTTACAACTAAACATACCACAAATTTTGAATTTTTTAATGAAATTATATATATATATATATAAATGTTTTGGAGAATAATATTATTCTATTTTTTTTTTAAAAAAAGACTTTATAAATAAATAAATATATATGTATATGTATATATTGGGTTCGAAATGGTTATTTTTTCTTAATGCATAAAACAAAAACCCTTGATGTAAATGATAAACCCTAATCTGAATTCTAAGTCCTTGAAACAGCCATGATGCGTGCTTTGCTGAGAAATGTCTCTCTCCGCAGTCGCAATCTCTTTCTCTCTTCTCCACAACCGAATGCAAGCTCCAGTCTTTCATTTGTTCCACTCGCTGTTTCCGCTAGATCCCGACTCCGGTTCTTTTCTTCCGAGTCGGACTCGTCAACCGAGATCCCCAAACCTGCTACGGAGTCGACATTAGCAGAAGGAACCAAGGATGTCGTTGCCAGTGTTGAGGACGTGAATAATAAAGGTACAGATATTATCATTCCTGTTAGTTAAGGTTTGTCAATTAGAATCGATATAGATGTTGAAATTGAGATACTTAAGATTCAAAGTGCATTTTCCTGTCTTTTGCTGTACTTTCTCTGTATTTCAAAGGTGTTCAAAACAGCGTGATATTGATTCTTCAATTATTACAGGGAAGAGGTCGGTTAATGAGGTTTTTGGATCTTTATGGTTTGCAAATTGACATGTAAAATCTTTGTAGGACGACGAGATATATATATATATATATATTTTGTTTGGAGGAATTTATAAAGTTGTGAAACTCTGATCTCCACTAAAGTCTGCCCTTTTTTTTTTAAAATATAAAGTCCGCCCTTTATTTCCTAGAAGTTAAAAAATTTATTCTAATTTTGGTTATTTTTACTCTTTTAGTTACGAAATTATGATTTACCTTGTTAGTTGTGGGTCTCAGAGTTGAATTCGCGAATAGAGAAGTATTTCAAAGGGGAGGAAGAGGTACTGCCGTCAATTCTTGAAGCAATTTTACAGAGAAAATTGACAGAGAAGCATGGAGATACAGACGATGAGTTGATGGAGGAATGCCGCATGAGACCATGGGATACTGTTGAGGAGGAAGACGACAAAAACTTTGAATCAGATTTTGAGGAGTTGTATTCGACTGATGAGGAGCTTGATAATTTGTATAATGCCAGGGAATATGTGATGAAGAAAATGGCAAAAGATGAGTTCTTTAATATGGATGCACAGAAATGGGATGACATGATTAGGGAGGCCACACAGCATGGGTATCTGAAGGATACTAGGGAATGCGAGGAGATTTTAGAAGACATGCTTAGCTGGGAAAAGCTCCTACCAGGTAGACCTTTAGTTACATTTGACTTAATTTGGTTATTGTGGTTTTATTTACTATTTGCGTGTGCTATTCATTTCTGCCCAGGGCGTAACTAATTTATCATCACTGTTAATATTTTGTAAAGATCCACAACTTTAATGTTTGATGACATTGTTGTTTCCTTGCGGTTCTTGGATCTGATATTGTTGCCAAATGCTATGAAGACGTTCATGCTTCTTCTATGTTCTTACTTAGAACCTCTCCTTCTATATTCCATAGTGTCTCTGAGTTATGTCTTTGATAAATTCAACATTGTCTGTACCAAATTGTTTGATAAACAAACATATTTCTTTCTGCTTCATGCATTTTTCTCTCAGAGTTGTTGATTTTTTCTGAATGTTGAATTCTGTTTTTCATTTGGTATTGTTATATTGTATTGGTATTATTGCACTTGATGAGATCTGACTCTGCTACATGTTTGATCTCTGTAGATTGTTCATGTGATCTATATAGTATTCTTTTGTAAGCGATTAGCTGCTGGATGTAAGCTTGGTTGTTTGCGAGGGTACATATTTTGTGGCCACTATGAACATTGATGACCTGCTGTAATTCAATTTATACTGCATTGCTTGCAGTGTTTTTTAACATTAATCTCTGTTGTCAGATGACATGAAGAGAAAAGTGGAAGAAAAGTTCAATGAGCTAGGGGATATGTGTGAAAGGGGGGAACTTGAACCTAAAGAAGCTTATGAAAAGTTCAAGGACTTTGAGGATGAGATGGTAATGGAATACGGGAAGATGATGGAAGTACAGAGCCCCCCACAGTTTGACGAAACAGTTGTGCCAGACAAGAAAAAAGATTTGGATGATCCACCAGGTGAGGGACCAATCCTTAGGTGGCAAACACGGGTAGTCTTTGCTCCTGGTGGTGATGCATGGCATCCTAAAAACAGAAAAGTAAAAATGTCTGTTACCGTGAAAGAGCTTGGGCTTTCAAAACACCAATTTTGCCGGCTGACGGAACTGGTTGGAAAAAGATATCATCCTGGGAAAGATGAGCTTACAATAACCAGTGAGAGGTAAGGTCAACTCTCAAGTGCATTACATTTTTAGTCAAATCGTAATTTGTTACATATCTTTGTGCTGTTGTTCTTTGAAATATCAGCAATTATTGCAGTTGAAACATACCATCATTTGTTGAAATATATTATCACCAGTTGTCTTTGAACTACAAAATGAAGGAGCAGGGAAAGGGTTTCTTTAAACTGTGAATTTTAGTTATGAGCAGTGGACAAGTTATCAACTGAGATTGAAAGGAGGATTCTTTTTTTTTTACATGTTATTTTTGCTCCCTTATGTTCTAGATCATCAGATTATCACAGAATTGTTCTTTTCTTTGCGAGATACAGTATCGTAGGTAATATAGAAATTGGCAGCCTCTATATGCAACTTTTTCTTTTTGATATATGTGTTATGGGCAGAGCATGCTCCAAGAATGCAATGTTATCTAAATATTACCTTGACAAATTGATTTTCTTTTTCTGTCTTTTCTGTTGATATTTGTTGGGGCCTGGGGGCAGGGACCTTGATGGTGTGGACATGTGGTTTCTTATAATGATTCTAAACCTCATAGCAGTCATTTTATTTCTGTTCCTATTATGGTTTGACCATGTCTTACTATTGCCCTGTGCAGCAGGATTCTGATAGCAAATTTGTTTTCCCCCATTTTTAGGTTTGAACATCGAGAGGAGAACAGAAAAGACTGCCTCCGAACTCTCTTTGCCCTCATTGAAGAAGCTGGCAAAGCAAACAAACTAGCAGAAGATGCCCGAGTTTCCTATGTCAAGGATAGACTCAGAGCCAATCCAGCATTCATGGAGAGGTTACGCATGAAGACCATGAAGGGAACCAACACTCTCAGTGCATGAGATATTGATTTATCAACTGATGATGGGTGGAAAAATAAGTTTTTTGCATCTGTTCCTGCAGATGGATAGCTCCTCAAAGATAAATACATTATGGAGCATTCCATCTCATGCAGGGTTTCTTACCTCTACTCGCCTCACCAACATTTTGGTACCTGCGGATTCTATCAGCCAAATGATTTGATCTATCCCTAGAAAACCGATGGAAAGAAAAATAAAAAAGATAACTTCATTTACTGAATTAAGATCTTTAACTCTGTGATTAGTGTTAATTTTATAGATTGCCGATTTAGTGGTGTTTCAAGCAGTAAAGTTACCACAAAAAGTTAAAGAAGTTGCAGTTGAATGTCAGTCCTGATTATTCACCTCGGCATCTCTAATGGATTCCGAGTTTTTGTTCATGTTATGTGATGTTAGAGGTTTGATTTTTATGCAAAAGTATCTTTCTTGCCTCAGAGACTTTTCGGAATTATCGAAATATGGTAACTGATAATTGCCTAGGAGATATGATTTTGTTTGGAGATATGATGTAATTGAAATCATTTCTACTGTATTTAATTTTAAAAGACATTTTTTGGTGATCGAAATCCTTTTGGTTTTATATCTAATTAGTGGGGTAATGGTGTTCCCATTCAGAATTTCATTAATTGAGATCTGCTGCATAAAAGATTGCTCTTTTGTTTTTGACCTTCACAAAACATGTGTGGAATTATATATACATATATATATATATATATATGAATGTATGTATGAAAGTATGTTAGTAAAATCCAAATCCTTTTTTGGAGTTTTGCAATGATAAGAAGAAAAAACCAACCCAATTGGCCTCCAGGAAGGCATTAATAAATAGAACCCTTAAAAAAGGGCTTATATGTAAAGTTGACTTACACCCCTAAAATCAAACTATTTAAGAACTTAAATTGTTAATGGCAAGTGATGTAACTCTAGATTGACCTAATAAATTTTTTTTTTCTTAAAAAAAAAAGGAAATTGACTTAAAATTTTGATTTTCACCAATCAAATGTTTCATGTCATAGATCATAAAATCATCATATAGTTATTGAATCCAATCAAATTTTAGCATTATTTTAACGCTCTAAATTAATACATAATTGATTAACTTTTTATAAACAGATATCTGAATCTTTAGAATACAAAATTTAAAACATTAATAATTAATTTTTATATTTTAAATCATTTAAATATTTTGATGTGAATTTAAAAGTTTGGTATTATTATTACGATTTTTGTATTCTATTTAAAAGTCATAAGTTTAAATTTTTCTAAAAATATGTAACTCGTTATATTATGAGTATGTTTTACACTTAACATTTCATTTAATAAAATCAAAATTTTAATTTATTAATATATTAATAAAATTGTAATGATAAAATTAATCGAAATCTCACAAAAATTATTATATTTATGGATTAAAAAAAAATTGTGATAGTTATATTCTATAGTAACTGAGATTTTGGTGAAAAAAAATATATTTATATATATATGGGAGAGGGAGAGGAGTGAACGGTGTTGTTTGGGAGATGAAATGGACGGCTAGGATAGGTGTGGCTTGTGAGAGGGAATGGACGGCTAAGATGAGTGTAGATGGGGGAATGAGATGGATAACCAGGATGAGTGGTAGGTAGAGTATAAATAGGAGGAAGAAAAAGAAAAAAAAATAGAGAAAACAGAGGAGGAAAGAAAAGGAGAGAACGGGAAAGGGAATGAGGAGGCTGGTGATAGAAGATTCGAGAGAGAGAGAGAATTCGGAGAGGGAAGGAACAAGAAGAGAGACCAGGAGAATGAGTAAGGCGACGGTGTGAGCTACAGAGGTGCGAAAAATGATTGAGACCGAAGGTATGGTGAATTTAAATTTCGAATATAAGATGATAGTGAAATGTGAATTTATTTCTGCAAATTTTGAAATAATGTATAGACAGTAAAGGAAATGGAAATAGGAAATAGGTGATTGATGGAATAGGAAAGGGGAGAGAGACGATAAGTGGCAGAATGGTTTGGTTGGGGTTGTGAGTGAAGAGAAGTAGAGGAAGTCGTGGGAGGAGAGGTCAATAGGTACGGAAAGGTGTTGTCGAGACAGTATAAGGAACTAGAAAATGAAGTAGAGGACGGAAGGAACAATAGAGTGAAGGAAGGATTTCGATTACGAGAAAATGGGAGGAGGACAATGAATGAATAGGTGTAAGGGAATCCGTGGGGAGAAGAGGTGAACTAGTACGGAAAGGGTGAGTCAGGAGAAACAGAATACGTACGGGAGAATGGGAGGCAGAATGCCAAGAAAGAGAGAGAGACAGGAAGGGAGAACGGCTGTGGATAGTCGGGTAGGGCACAGAGAATAGGTGATAATGATAGAGAGAAGAGGGTTGTGAGCCCAAAAAAAACACAGAGAGGAGTGAAGGGAGGGACTGAGAGCTAGAATGGTTGGAAAGAGTGGCAGTGGCAGGTGTGGTGAGGGGTGAAGTGAGTGGAAGAGAAAGGGGATTGGGATGAAGGTTAGGGTATAGTGAGCGTGTGCGTGTACGGCTTGTGTGTGTGTGTATTTGTGTGGGTGTATATTTGTGTGTATGTGTATTTGTGTGGGTGTGTATTGGTGTATATTATGTAAGTATGCTTGTAAATTTGAAAACTGCATGGAAATGTTGGTTGTTTGGCAATAACTGAAGTTGGAATGACTGGCGTGTGGTATGCATTTATGTGTGGCATATTGAGTAGGGACGAGGTGAGGTTGCATTAGTGGTGGTCGAGGTTGGGACTCCAATATTGGTTGTCGTCATTTAAAAAAGGTAAGTAGATTGTAGATATTGGTGATGCCTGGGGGTTGCCAGATTGGTAACGAGATCAGTTGCCGATGTTGGTGATGAAAGAAAACAGTAACGGTGTGTGTGTGTGGGTGGCAGCTAGGGGTCGAGTGGTGGAAAAAAAAAAGGTCGCCGATATTGGTGACGGATGGAGGTAACAATGTGAGTGAGTGGCCGGGTCAAGGCCTAGGGGATGGTGTCATGGGATGACTGCATGTAACGCCCAAACGTGGGCATCTTTGTAATTTCCTCATTAATTATTTATTTAGCAAAAAAAAAAAAAAAAAAAAAAGAAAAAGAAAACTTTTTGCCCTTACACTTTGAAAGCTCGTTGGCTTACTAAAGAGAAGTCCGTCGATGCTCCCACAGAGGTTAGTTTCTTTCTCTGGGTCTCTCTTTCTTTGTTTCTCAGAAGAATCAGCGCGCACGAGAGAGAAGAGAACGCAGAAAGAGAAGTCCACTGGTTTATAATTCCATTGATGGGTGTTTTATCAAATTTAAGAGGACCAAGAACAGGAGCGACCAACGAAGGATTGCCCCTATCTGATGTATCTTCTTCTTCGTCTTCCCCGTCAGCTCCCAAGAGGAAATGGTCCAATCTGTTGCCTATTCTGGTCGCGCTTGTGGTTATAGCGGAGATCGCCTTTCTGGGTCGCCTTGACATGGCTAAAAATGCTGCTCTCGTCTAGACTTTGACCGATTTCTTTTACCCATCTCCGATTCCACTACCTGTAACGCCCAAACGTGGGCATCCTTGTAATTTCCTCATTAATTATTTATTTAGCTTAAAAAAAAAAGAGAAGCAGCGTGGTGGCGCAGGGAACGGGAGAAGAAGAAGGAAGCAAAGACGTGCACGTCGCGAGCGGGAGAGATGGGTTTTCGTGATTTTTGGAGAATCTTCAGTGCGGGGATACTGATCTAAACAGCTTCGCTCCACTATAAAGAACGAAACTCGAAACAGAGAAAGGAGGAATCCCTGAGGGCAAAGGGGCGTAGAGAGAGGGAGGAGGCCGAGAAGAGAGAGTTCATCTTCTCCATAAATTCTTCGCAAAATACTCAAAAAAAAAAAAAAATCCCCTCAAATTGTTCTTCTCATTCTTTATTTTCCTTCTACTCGCAGAACCAATTATTGGCCTCTACTATTTGACATAAGCACAAATATCACCCATCTTTGTATTTTCTTCAGCGCGACTCCAAGCAGCTCAGGCCATCTCTGTCACAGAAGAAGCCCTCTCTCTGCTGATTTTAATTTCCGAGCGGCAATCATATACATTGCAGTTTATCATCACCGAGACCCAACCTTCATCGCACAGTTGATCGGAGCCGAATCACCAAAACACGAACCTCACCGGAGAGTCGCCGCACCCGAGAGCACCGCCGCCGGTACCAGTAGTGCGTTTCAGTTTCCCGGGAAAAATTCAGAGAAAATTAGGGACAGCCTGTAGGCGCACTATGAAGCCGTGTTCGGACCCCGAAACGAGTAAGGACCCCTCACCCTATTTCCTATCACGGTATTAAAGTTCAACAATGATAAAACGGTATTTCTTGAATCAACGAATGTGTGAAATTGCTTAGGGTTGCTAATGGAGCCCGAGTCTAGTGTGTTTGTCGGTTAACTGTTATTTGGCCTATTTTACAGTTTAAAATGCAGTATGAGGTTTGATGTTTTTATTTTATAGTTTCGTTTGCATATTTTACTGTTTTATTGATTATGAATTGAATGACTGGGATATTGATGCTGTATGTTGTCTGTTTGGCATAAATTACCGTTTTGCTTGTTTGTATGTGGATTAATATTGCTGACTGAGGAAAAAGAGAATGAAAGATTATGTAAATGGGTAATTGTATAATGGGGTCAGCCTGACTAGATATCCTGGGAGATGGTGGACGGACCGGGTCCGTAGGGAACCCTACCGGGATTGTGGTCTCCCATACCGGACGGGGTATGGAGATCTTATGTGTTTTGGCGCCCATACCGGACGGGGTATGGGGACGGCCCGTTTCACCCTCATACCGGACGGGGTAATGAGGTTTATAGTTTTGGCGCCTATACCGGACGGGGTATGGGGACGGCCCTGCAATCTGATTTCAAGTGTTAAGGGTTAACGGGTAGCGGGACCCCTATGGATCCCCATGGATACTAGTGGGCTGGTAAATGAGGAAAATATGTTGTGTAACGATTGAATTACAAAAGGCTTGATAAGTATTATGTTATACAGTTTATATATGATTTCATGATGATGATAATGTTATTGCTTTCGTATACTGTTTTATGAATTTCTCCGAGGTAAGTGGATGGTGAAGGATTTATTATTGATAAAAGAATTTGTTGTAAATTATGCTCCATTGGTCTTTTTGTGTTTTTTACCCACCTTTACCTCCGTGACGGTGAGATATCGTGATGTCTTTACTGGGCTAGTGTAGCTCTGTAGCGCCCGGACCGAGAAAAAAAAAAAAAAGCCACGTCGGCAGCCACGTCAGCAGGCCTGGTCAGCAGTCCTGGCCAACCGGGGCCTGCCACATGGCAAGACCACGTCGCTCCGGAACGGGCCACGTTGGCGATCTGCGTGGGCGCGATCGGACGGCCCAGATCAATCGCGCGATCGGACGGCCCAGATTCAATCAAAAACGAACGGCCCAGATTAAAACAAAATGAACGGCTGAGATCAAAAGGCAAGGGGTTATAAATAGAAGCCCCACACCAGACCACAAACCCTAGCCGCCTGCCGCTCGCCGCCACCCGCCGCCGCACCGGGGAAATTTCCGACCGCCGATCGAGGTAAATTTCATACCCCCGACTCGTTTTTCCACGCTGATTCCTCCTGTGGCCAAATCGAAGCCAAAATCCCGGCCAAACGGCCAGAATACGCGGCGGCGCCGTCGCCGGAGCACGGCGGAGCCGCCGTGCCGGAGTTGCGATATTGGCCAAAAAGGGGCCCTGAGCCTAATTTGAGATTTTTTGGAATACGTGCAGGTACCGTTAGTGTGTTTCAGTTCCCCGAAAAAAATTCAGGGAAAATTAGGGACGGCCTGTAGGCGCACTTTGAATCGTATTCAGATCCCGAAAACAAGTAAGAATCCCTCACCCTATTTCCTATCACGGTATTAAAGTTCAAAATAATAAAACGGTATTTCTTGAATTAACGCATGTGTGAAATTGTTTAAGGTTGCTAATAGAGCCCGAGTCTAGTGTGATTGATGATTTACTGTTATTTGGCCTGTTTTACAGCTTTAAATGCATTATGAGGTTTGATGTGTTCATTTTATAGTTTCGAGTGCATATATTACTGTTTTATTAATTATGGGTTGAAAGACTGAAGAATTGATACTGTATGTTGTCTGTTTGGTATGAATTACGATTTGCATGTTTAAATGTGAATTGATGATGCTTATTGAGGAAAAGGAAAATGAAAGATTGTGTAAACTGATAATTGTATGATGGGGTCAGCCTGACTGGATATCCTGGGAGATGGTGGACGGACCGGGTCCGTAGGGAACCCTACCGGGATTGTGGTCTCACATGCCGGACGGGGTATGGAGATCTTATGGTTTTGGCGCCCATACCGGACGGGGTATGGGGACGGCCCGTTTCACCCTCATACCGGACGGGGTATTGAGGTTTATGGTTTTGGCGCCCATACTAGACGGGGTATGGGGACGGCTCGTTTCACCCTCATACCGGACGGGGTATTGAGGTTTATGATTTTGGCGCCCATACAGGACGGGGTATGGGGACGGCCCTAGAAACTGATTATGAATGTTAAAGGTTAACGGATAGCGGGACCCCTATGGACCCCCATGGATACTAGTAGGCTGGTAAATGAAAAAAGGATATGTTGTATAATGATTGAATTACAAAAGGCGTGATAAGTGCTATGTTTTACAGCTTATATTATTCCATGATTGTGATAATGTTATTATTTTCTTATATTGTTTCATGAATTCCACCGAGATAAGTGGATGGTAAAGATTTTATCATAAATAAAAGGATTTGTTGTAAATCATGCTCCATTGGTCTTTTGTGTTTTTCTACCCACATTTACCTCCGTGACGGTGAGATATCGTGATGTTCTTACTGGGCTAGTGTAGCTCACTCCTTATTTAACCATTTCAGATCAGGAAGACATGGTTCCCGAGCCCGTTCCGCAGGAGGACGACGAAGGGGATGCCTAGAGACTCTGTAGTCATACTCATAGTTTTATTTTCGAGTTTCTCTTTTAGTTAGTTTAATCTTTTATATTTTAAGTACGTTTTTGGTTTTCGTGTAAGGGATGTTAACTGAAATTTTGATCTCGCTTCCGCATTTTATGTGTTTAAATACTCATTTCATTTTCACATTTCCGGGGTCGTTACAAGCTCATTCCTTATTTAATCATTTCAGATCAGGAAGACATTGTTCCCGAGCCGGTTCCGCAGGAGGACGACGAAGGGGACGCCTAAAGACTCCATAGTCATATTCGTAGCTTTTACTTTCAAGTTTCTCCTTTAGGTAGTTTGATCTTTTATATTTTGTAAGCACGTTTTTGGTTTTAGTGTAAGAGATGTTAATCGAATTTTTGACTTCGCTTCCGCATTTGATATTTTTTTAATATACATTTCATTTTAAATTTTCGGGGCCGTTACACTGTACCTAGTATAATTAACAATTTATCATCAAGGAGATGTTGTAGTTACAATAGAGTTAGATGACTGGTAGTGGGGGTTATAGGTAGAAAAGAAAGCATGACCAATGTAACAGGAAGGGAAAACATAGAAGAATTGGCTTTTAATTGGGTTTCCATGCTATATTTGTGATTTAAATTTACTGTACTAATTTGTATATACTCATTCCCTATCAATCACAGATGAAGTAGGATCGGAGATTGGATCGGAGTTGCGGGGTTCCGAACCCAACCTATAGAGAAAACGAACCAGAGTTTACGTCTAGTAAAACGGAATAATTACGTGTTTGGTAGCAATGTAAATTATGTGTAAAAACAAGGATTTATGAAGTTCTTAAGCTATTATATTGATGCGTGTATAGTTGAGAATTTATTTTAAAAACTGAATAATTGGTTTCACTATTTCTTTTATGTGTACGATTGATTTGAAATGAGATATGGGTATTCTGTATGCTAATATAATTGAGATAACGCTGTTGAAGAGAAAAAAAAAACACTGGGATGTTACATATTCTCTTAAATAAAGTATGAAATAATAAATTAAGAAAACAGATATAAACTTTTTTAATTTTGAAAAAAGAAAAACTTACAAGTGTGGCATAAGGTAGGTTGATGAGGGTGAAAAACAAAACAAATCAAAACATATCTTTGACAAAATCCATGAAAATTATAAGAAGACAATATGAATTGGGTCCCCCTTTCAAATCAAAACCATATAATATACGATTGCTTCTCATCATAATTATCATAACCCTCTACTCCAACCATGTCTTTTGGCTAGTGCTGGACCATAATTAATTCAAACTAATCACCACACTTTATCATTCTTCCTTTCTATGCATATATATATATATATATATATAATATAATGAGAACTAATTAAACCAAAACAGAGCCTTAAAACTAACTGCAACATAAATTGTTATAATTTGTAAACTGAAGATTGATCCTAATAACACATGAAACAATAATTAATTTAAACAAGTATGTTTATTATAAAAAATAATAATTCTATGTCATGACCCGAGTATATAGTTCTGATTTAAAAAATTAGGTATTCGGGTTTGAAATAAAAAGAGAGAACACGGAGAGAAAGAATTAGAAGAATTTGAGAAAGATAGAGCGAAAATATCAAATGGAAAAGATAAATATTAAAGATAGATAGATAGAAATTTGAAATAAATGATAATAATGTATTCAAAATATTTCGGTAATTCATTAATTATATAATATATATATATATATAATAAAATATGATAAGCAACATCAACTTTATCGTATATGGACAAAGAAGATGAATATATGTATATGTGGGACTAGCCAGACAATCCAACACTACAAACTCACAAAGTCAAAACCCTACATGGCCATCCAACAAAAAGGTAAAGATCTCTGATTTGATAAATCTCATTTTAATTTGCTTGTATCTGTTTGGCATCTGAGAAAATTTTCTCCAGTAGTGATCTGTTAGTTATGAACTAACCCACCATCTTTATATGTATATATATATATATATATATATTTATAATTGTGTCCATAATGATGAGTCATTAACCAATAGAAAATTGTTAATTGATGAATTAATTAACAATTAATCCACTTTTAACAATTGCTAATTCATTAACTTTTACTTTTTTATTTAAAAAAGAGACTTTTATAAATAGTGAATAATTAATTTCAATATATATATATATATATGTATATATATAGTGATTCATCATCCTTATCCTGAATTAATTTGGCTGATCAGAACTACCAATTATTTATGTTTTGGCTTTTTATACCTTGATAAAAGTTGCAAAGAATAAATTCCACATGGTGAGGGACATGTGCATTATATATATATACATACACACATATGTAATCTTTCTGTTTCAAGGGATATATACATACATATATATATATATAAGTGTATGTCTTTGTGTATGTACCTGTGTGTGTTCGAGGATATATATATATATATCAGTCTTCAATTTAAACATTCCGTTAATTAATTTCTAATTTTAATTAAGCATCACTAATTAATTTGCTAAAAATGAGTGTGCCTGGTACATTCGTTAAGTTTGTCCACCCACATACATGTATACACATATATGTACACATGTTTGTGTGTATGTATATATTTGAAGCATGAAAGTTTTGTCAATACAAGTGATTCATCTCCAGACATGTGAAGAATTGATTTACATATATATGTACATACATATGTATACAGAACTTTAAAAACCTCTAGATATTTCTTGAATTTCTTCCAACATTGGACCAATTATTTGCTGACCATGAGTTCCTTAAAAAAAATCATTTGTACTGATGATAGTGTTATATATATATATATATATATATATATACACTTCAATTTCCTTTATGAAATTTACTAGCTAGAATATTATAGATCTTTTTTAAGATTCTACAGTACAAACTATTTTAGAGCTTTGCTTAATCTAAATTTTCTGGACTAACATTAAAACACACACACATATATATATATACACACACACAAGCATATATATATTGAGCAAAAAGTACATGAAGCAGCTAGCTACCTTGCAATTCCTGTCTTGAATATTTTCCGAGAAAGTTAATTAGTATTTACCAAGATCAAGTCAATGCATGCAAGAAAGCAGTCGTAGATATATATATATATATATATGTGTGTGTTTATATATATATAGACACAGACTTAGAAAAAGCTGTGTCATATACAAATTAAGCTCGCACCCAAAAGAAAAAACTTGTTTGGTCATCCAAATGGCATCAAATAAGAGAAATCAAACTACATGGAAATCAAGAATTAATGTTCCATATCTTAATTTTTATTTCACAGCATAACTTTCCTTCATTTTCTCGGCAACCAAACAAGAAAATCTCTGAAAGCGAAAACGACCGGCAAAAAGTAGGTACATATATATATATATATATATAGATATATGTGGGAAAGATGAAATTAATAATAAGCCAAGCATCAGACTTGCCTAGAGGTCATTAGCATTTCCTCGATCGACAAACAAAAAGAACGCACAAACGCCAACTCATCATCTTCTTCATCATCATCAGCTTCTTTGCTGCAATTTTTCTTCAGGCCATGGCTCAAACCTACCTCTCAGCGTGGAGTTAGACCGTAGGCCGCCATGAAATCTTCCTCTGAATAGCTTTAGAACTGCCATGTTTCTCTCAGCTCTGAGAATAAATTCAGAGAATAGAATGAAAACTATGAAATGGGAAATAAGTTCTTGTCAGAGCTAGGTCAAGAAGATGTGTGTGAAATACTCTTGGACTTGTTTGATATATAAATATATATAATTACATGGAATGTTTTGGAAATTTACACATGATGTATTTCAATATATATATATATATATAATATGTGGGCCATGTGTGTAGGTGAATAATTTTTTAAAGAATATAAAAGAGTATAGAAAAAAAATTTGTGTGAGAATTGGGGTGACTAGTATTTCATACATATATATAAATGGTGATTAATTATGATGTTTAGATTAATATATATATATATATATATTATAGTTGGTGTAGGATTAGAAAAAGATATTTAAAATAAAGGCAATACCTCAATGAGTAAGTAAAGAATCTCTTTTTATATGTATATATATTAAGAGTTGGAATCTGCATTGTGGGGTATAATACGTACATATATATATATACATATATATATATATATATGTGAGCAAAAATCAAAGTGAAACATAATTAGGTCATGTTAGTTCTTTCTTGTGGGTTCAATGTACACGCGTTCTCTCTCTCTCTCTCTCTATATATATATATATATATATATATTTATATATTCACATATACATACTAATATATAAAAATGCTTACGATTCACCCGGCTAAATTTATAGGGTTATTACCATGTATGCCACGGTGAAAGAAAATGGATTCATAAGTAACCGCTGCAAACATCCAAAAATTTTCTCCCAAAAGTGAACATATACATACATATATACATACATAGAATGTGTATTGCCACTGTGGTGGACACAAGTATATCAATATATATATATATATATAGAATGTGTATTGCCACCGTGGTGAACACAAGCGTTGATATATATTTTATATTTAACCAATATAAAATTTGGTGTTTATTTAATTTTTTATATTCAATTTTTAATGAATTGAATATAAAATTTCATTTACAGGATAATTTTTTATTATTTTCAATATAAAATCTTTTATAAATTGAATTTAATTTCGTTTTTATCTTTATTAATTTAGAAATGGAAGAACATGATTTATTTAATATTAAATTTTTGTAATATTTTATTATCTATATGGATAATATTATTAAATATATATAATATTTATGGTCATAAAACAGTTCAAAGCACTTACAACTAACATTTTTAAAAGGAGATATAGTGTATGTATGACACTAAACATATAAATAAAGTTTATTTAACAACAATTTCAAACATGGTCGGTCACTTAAAAGTTTTAACACTAATTAATAAAATTATTGCTTTTTTTATTTTTCAAAAAAGGTATATAATAAAAATATATATATATATATAATGTTAAAATAAGAACAAAAAATAAATTTGTGATGAGGCATTTTAACTCACTTGATGAAGTTAAAAAATAAAATAAAATAAAAAAAATATTTATAGAAATATTTTACGCAGGATTACAAATACGAACAAATAATTCGTAAATTTAATATAATTTAAAATAAATTTTAAAAATTAAATTCGTCTTAATTTTAATACGAGTTTGGATTTAGATTACATTCATATTAAAGTTCATATTCATAAAAAAAAAAACCAAATATTAATATTAGAATTACTAATAACCAATTTTCACTATTTAATTCCAAAGATCTTACCATAAACTTTAAACTAATTCTTCTTAAATAATTGTTTAGAATTATTGTTTTGATTAAACTATACCAACATATTCTCCAATAATTACAATTTAAATTAAATATTTAATTAGATTCAATGATTATGCCCAAAAAACCATGTTGACAAATACCCATAAACTCTTTAAGAAAAAACTATATATATATATAAAGACACTATTAGAATTTGAAATTGGCTCATCTCGATAGACTTGCACCAAACATGATGATTTTTGACACCTAACACTATCAAATACTATATATATGCGTATATATGTATAATTAGATATTCTTTTGGATTAATCTTAAATTACTCTCTCCTCCATATCTAACCCATTTCATTATCTAATAAAATTAATATTTTAGGACGAAGCTATTTTGTTTTTACTTGATTAAGAATTATAATATTTGGTGTTCATGTTGAAATGCCCTTTGAATTTTATCAATTTTTTTAATACCTAAAAAAGCTTATTTCATAATTCTTGATTATGCATCTAATTGAAGAACCAATTCTCAATTAAATTAAGGAAAAATTCTATTTTTAGGTACATATTGTGATATGGCTTGATTAAAATTCAAACATTTAAAATTTAATTTATAATAATTTAGTGTTCGATAATTTAATTTTTTTTTTCCATTATATTTAAATCTAACTATTTCTTTTAAACAACTTGTAATTGTCTAAATACACGTAAAATATTTAAACCCAAACAAGTTAAAATTAAATATATATATATATATATATGATTTAATACTTCAACAATTAAGATTAGGATGGATGAGAGAGCATGAAAAGAAATTAATTAATTACATAGTGGTTGAAGTGGACGTAGTATGATGTTCCCCTTGAAACTATTTGAAAGCAATAAAATAAATAAATAAATAATTTAAATTGTTTTATTTTAATTATAAAAATATTTTTTGCAATTTTAATAATAATAATAAAATATTGCTAAACTAATATTTGGACATTAGAATTTATTCCTATTCCAAAAAAAGAAAAAAAAAATTCAAATACGTTCTTTCATATTAATCAACTTGATGTATTTAAAACTTTGATTTCAAACTAAGATGAGAGCGCACCTTTTTTTATTATTATTTTTAATCTAAAGTGAACTAACTTAATTAGATTCTTCTGGATATGATAATATAATCCAATATGACTAATACATATATACATACATATATATATATATATATCTCTCTCTATGGAATCCACTAAGACTTGAAAGAATGATGATTACTTTACTTACACATTTGACTCTTCAAAAGAACTTTCTGTGAGATCCGTGATTTTGTTAGGACCACTTAGGTTAGCCTACTCGTCCGTACAGTCCACATGGCAGTGTTTGGCTGGCAAGAAAAAAGAAAAGAAAAGAAATATGTAGTTTGTCTGGTTGCTTGACAGTTGACATGCCTTTTCTATTTCTTAATAAAATTTTGAGTTCATGTAAATGACAGTACTTTTATATTTTATACTATAATATATTCTAATAATTGTATATTTTATATTAACTTAAAACTTATATATTCCTCAAATTTAATTACCATAATAACAATCCATGCACTCTTTATGGATCATAATCAGTAAAAAGATGTAAAAACAATACTTACATTACTGAGGTATTTTGAGATAAAAATGCATGTCTTACAGATTCTTATTTGGATCCATCTATCTTCAAAAGCACATATTCTCTCTCCCACAATCAATTCAGTACACAACAGATATTGTACATAATTTATTATTAAGAAATTTTCAATCACCAAACAAGGACTAATCCCCCCCTTGCAGTGAAAAGGTGCTGAAGAATGAAAGAACAGCCAGCATTAACTTACTCAGGCACCAGAAAATCCAGTTTAAGTTTTAACTGAAAATCAACATGCTATGTTTTCCAAATTCGTATCCCAACAAAATATCGGAAAAGTAAAGACCGTTTAGACATGTATCTAAATATTTCACCTCGCATATCAATCTGGATGTGCTCGGGTAGAATTCCCACTAGCATAGTTACCGGAAAGAAACTTCTTGATATCTGTCAAATGATGTACAAAAGAAATGTCATAAGCTAGCGTAACAGTTTTATTTGGGGTAAACGAAAAGGGAGATACATATATATACATATATATGTATATACCATTTTTGTATTGGTAGATGTTGTGTACACTGTAGAATAACAAAAGGGGGAGAACAGCAGATGTGGCTCTAATAAAATCAGCCACCAAATTGTATCTTTATATTCCCTTTAAAAATGATTCTACCAACCAACTATGAAGGCATGTATTTCAGCCCAGCTTGAAGCTGTATAAAGAGTCCCAGAAAGGCCCTTCCAATTAGACCTCCCTTCAACATATTCTTTCTGTTGCTTAACCAAGCCAGTAAATAATGGGACAAAAGAGACACCAAACTGACTCCCCACTCTCCTTAGGCTTGAACTAGATCCAATCACAATTCCAATATCTGCCTCAAGCAAACAAAGCAGGTCACCCACCGAGTCTCCAATATAAACAGTCAAGTTCTTTCTGTCATTACTGCACTTCTTTAAAATGTCCTCGAAAGCATGAACCTTGTCAATGGGAGATTCCATCTTCTTTATGATTTCACCCGTGGACATAGATTCTTCAAACTTCAGCTCATTCGCATGTACATTGAAACCATCTAAACCTGTTTAAAACAAGTAAATAATTACTGAAAAATCTCTAATCACCATTCAAAACCAATAAACAAGGGTATTGAATTAAAAGGCCAATAAACCCTAACATTGAGAGAATTGGCAACGATGCTAAAATACACAGCACTGTTGCTTGAACTCTCAATTTTAGCTACACATATCAGACATTGAAATTTTGGCAATACCACATGCCTTTAGCTATCAATTCTTAAGTAGGCAAGTGATCAGCAATGGAGTACCAACCTACTTTCATGACGAAAGAAAAAATATGTGTAAAACCATTCCTCAGAAATGTGGCAAGAAAGAGAGATTACTAATAAAATATAGAATGAAATATGAATAGATGAACAATATTACTTGAGCAAACAAAAAACGGATCTATGCTGTTTGAAAAGAACATTTATCAGTTAGAGTAATTTGGCCAATCATCTCGGTGTCAAACAGTACTTCTTTGAAACTTAAAACAATATAAGTAAAATTTTTAAATTCCACAAGATCTACTCATTCTGATTAATTTGATACATGCTCTCCTGCCTTATATAGGTTGAACTTAAACTCCTTTCTACCAAAAATTACGAGCAAAAACAATTAAATAGTACCATGCAAGCCTAGAAAATCAATGATTTTGATGACTCACAAGATCAACCACAAGTCTCATGTTGCATAATGGATCACATGCGAATGGCATGAACTAACAGCTATAATCCGTATGGCGAACTAGCATTGAGACAAAGAAACAACACCGAACATGAAATTAATATTTTTAAAAATAGGCATCAGGTTAAGTTTTACAAGTAATAATTGAGCCTGCAACATCCCACAGATGGCTCGATTATGCAACTATGTGCTGCTTTGTTTTAGCAAGTCAAGATAGCATCCATGTAACTTAACATACCCTACAAAGCGTACATAGTTGCAGAGGAGACATGCCATCCCAATGGAGGTCATGCATTTAGAGTCAATTGTTAATAGTTCCAAATTTTCCCGAATTTGGGTCTAGTTTGTATCATTTTGGCTAAATGACTGAGCAGCTGGCCAGGGAGCTGCAAAATGCTTTCCCCAGTTCAAATCTGCCTGATTAATAAAAAAACAGCCTATCAACACATTCTATCAACGACAGAAATGCAGGATAATAATACAGGCTTTCATATCCCAGGAAGAAAATTGCAAGTATACCTTTCTTTTCTATCACATAAAGAAACCTGATCTGAAATGGAAAAAAAAAACCACTCCTATTTTACACTAGATGAAGCTCAAATAACGCCCTATTTTCATAAACACAAGAACTAACTTTTGGCACGACTAATGAAATTATTTTACAACTAGACAAATCTCAAATAATGCCCTATTTTATAAACACAAGAACTAAATTTTGCCACAAATAATAAAAGGTCTGAGTTAGTAACCATAACTTTTCTCATTAAACGACGCGAATTACACACTGCTTTTTGTAAACCAAAAAAGACATATTTGATGAGTTTTTAGATGCATCCCGAGGCCGTCTGAGAGATCTATGACTGAGAAAAAGGGAGTCGGTGCCCTTGGGTAAATGAACAGTAGAAGAGATGCTCAAATTCCAGGCACTAACTTCAAAGACCAAAGTTTCTAGGACCCTATCATTTGCAAGATGGAGAAGAGGCTGGCAAGCTAGAAAAGAACTATCTTTCTGTGGTAGAAGGCTCACTCGCACCAAAAGTACCTATCAAATACCCTGATCTATTTTGTCCCTTCCCTTCATCCTTGGCAAAGTCGCAAAATGGTTGGTTTCTATTAATGTTGGTTCTTATGGAGCAGATACTGACCAAAAGAGCAACCACTTTGTTGACTTGGGCAATTATCAAGGACATCTTCCTCCTCAGAACTAGGTTAATAGTAGGGATGGCAATGTGAAGGATCCTCCTCCTCCCCCTCCGTCCGCTTCCCCCTTCCTCTGATTTTAGTTTTATATGCTTGAATCAATGTAAACTATTAGGTTTAAAAAATATCAGTATTCAGCTTGGCCTACCTCGCCTGGCATTTAAAATAAACCGCACTTGGCCTATCTCAAACTTTATAAGAATATAAAAATCTTAAATAAACAACAAATATATTATGTAAAAATACGTGTAATCAAAATATCTGATATGAAAACATCTATAAATAAATATATCTACTATATTGCTACTAATTTATAGTTTCATATATTCTCAAATAAATATATATACATATCAACTTTCAGTTTGGATCAGTTAAATAGTACCAACACCCAAGCATGACCCGATCAAAAATGTTCTAATACAAAGGCCTAACCAGAATGATTTTTAAGAAAAACATTGCATTCAAACCTGAACAGGGCAGTTCAAATGCCTGTGGTTCACAGGACTACTGCAATTCCTAGGCATTAGATCTTTTCTGGGCTAGATAGGCCTCCATATCAGTACTAAATTCATGTCTTAAGAGAATCTTTGGTGGGAGGTCACTGCTAAATATCAATTGCTAGAAGAAGTTGGAGGATGTGTAGAACTGGATGAGCTTATCACACTAGGTTATGGAGGTAGATTAGTAAGAGTTTGAGCCCTGTGGCAGATCTGATTCACTTTACAGTCTCTAACAGTTGTCTTCCAAGGTTATGGGAGAGTTTTTGGTATGGTGAAAAACACCTCAAAGACCATCTCTGGACATATTCAGCCTAACAAGAAAGGCCCGAATGAATCATTTGAGTGGTTTTAGAAATTCTAACTAAGAACATTCAACTCTACTGACATCCGAATGACTGGGAGGTGGATGATCTAGTATCGTTAGCTCAATAGTCTGCTCATTAGTTCCTTGCAAACAAGAGTCACTTCCTAATCTGATCCCCTTTGAAGAATGGTGTGTCCTCACGAACTACCAAAACCTTAGCCCATAATCATGTTGCTTTTAGACTCCCTTGGAAGTAGATTTAGAAAAGTAAAGCTTCTCGCTGAATGACTATCTTGGCCCAAAGGCTCACTTGAGGAAGGGTCCTAATCATTGACAACTTGGGGAGGAGAGGAAGAATTCAGGTCAATATCTGCCCCACATCTTCATGAGAATTATCCCCCAACCATGCCCTTCTTTGGTTTCCGGAGCCTAGTGAGTTGGGGGATTCTCCCATTACGTCTTCTGAACTTTTCTCAGATAAGCTAAGGCATAGTGGTGGTTCATATGATTTGGGGTAGGAATGCACTGCAATGTGGAAAGTTCTGGAAGAAGCTCCCTATTTCTTTGGCAACTCTTTGGATCATATAGGAAAGGGAAAGTAGGAATTTTTCGGCTATTAGCACTGCTTCTGATTCAATTAGGAATATCGGTTCTAAGCCTTATCTATTCTGTCTCAAGACCATCCTCTCCTTAATGGAGATATGAGAAACTAATCGATACTTGGCTTATGTTTAAATGCTTCCTTCACATGGGTAGCATCTCTTGGTGTCTTGTTTATAACATTTTTCTTTTTCCATATAAAAACCAAAAATTTCTTTCCATTAGAGAAGCAAAACTTCCAAGAACTATAGCATACAATGTAAAAGCCTTCTATTCACCTACATGAGTTCAAGTTTTAGAAAAAGAATAAAGCAAATACATTAAATGATATTGAACTGTGTTGAATGGAAGTGTATATTAACGTGGTAAAACTCAGTTCTTTTGTTTGCAATCTTTTGTATTGCATAAATGAAAATTCTAGAGACCAATTGGATGATGAAAATATTTTCAAATTTTTATTTTTTTGAACTTACAAGTATTTTATTCACAAAAATATAAATGTCAGTTAACAATGAAAAAATGATTATGGAAATGACAATAATGTTTGAAATTTCCAAGATATTATGTTTAGTATTTTCTTAAAAAGTATTTTATTTCGTGCTTAATTATTTTACAATCACACAACTCTTACATTCTTTCATTAGTAAAAACATGTATAACACATAAATTTCGAAAATGAAAATCAAAAAGTATTTTCATGTAGTAAATGAAACCTTATATATTCAAGCAATAAAAAAACAAATGGTTGGAAACACAAGCCAAGACCCTCCCTTCTCGGTTGCATGTCTGGTCACTGAGCCAAGACTTCATTGGTTTTATAGTATCTTATGACTTCTTTCTCTATAAATCCGATAAGAAAATAGCATACCTGAAGAAAAAGCTGCTCTGATGAGATCCCCGCACCAACAATATGAAAGTACATGGAAATTTGCATTTAGATTTTCTTTCTTTACAATCTTCTGAAAGAACTCAGCACAGCCATCGTGAAGAATCAAGCGTTCCCCAGTTCGTTTAATATCTTCAAGATTTAGACCCTTGAGCACCCCAGACTCAATCACTCTAGAATTTGCTCTTCTCTCAAAGTCTGAAAGTTGCTCAAGCGCTTTGTGTAGAGCCTCATAGTTGAATTCCTTGACTGCAAAACCCGAAAATAAAACCAAACAGAACAGATTATAATGTCATCCCCATCTTCCCTGAAACACTTCAAATAAGCTGAAACAAAGAGCAGAACTATTAAAACTGCAACAAGACCGTGCAGCAGTAGTAAATTACTTTACCTTTCTCAGAAGGCATAATACTTTTTATGCACTCTTCATACTCTTCAGTATACTGCTTAGAAAGGAGAGCCCATGTATTCCTCAGCTCAGCTGATGACATACGGGAAATTTGGTTTTCAGGTTGATTCTGATCAGATTTTGGAGCTGTTACTATGGCAATCTCTGCCAAAACGGCAGAGGAATCAACAACAGTACAAGTCAAATCAAAATCAGAAAATAGCATAAGCCTGTCTTCTGCAGGGTTATGCTCTTTAGTCAAAGGAACTACAGTAGGTTGAGCAAGTGGCTGAGCATAGAAGAATTCTATTTCAAGTTTCATAGCTTGGTGATAGAGATTTTCAATGATGTCTAGTTCCTCGCCTGTCAAGGAGACACTAAGTTTATCGACCAAGTCCTCAGTTTGCCGAGCTGATGCCTAAATTCAAACAATACATAGTTGAGCTGTAGGACTTAGAGACCATTCATTTTCATAATTGTATTTCCTCCAAGTCTTACAATAAGCCAAGAACAATCAGATGGACCATTTTTTTTTTTTCAAAAGAAAAAATCCCAGCTGAAAAGATGTACCTGAAAGCCTTCAGAAGAGTAATTGTTAATCCACTTCTAGTAGGGGCTATTCTCTCCATTAGAATCTAGAAATGTCTCAAACTCCTTACCCAAAAAGGCATATAACCTCATGCAAGGTGTCATGGCAGCCAAAATGTAAGCTGCAACTTTAGTCTTCTCAAATGGAGTAGCAAGTTTGCCAGGAGCTTTTACTCCTTCAACCTTCCCAGAAGCTGTTGCTAACAAAAATTCAGTATACTTCACTGTTGCAGAGTTAATGTTGTATTCTTTAGAAAGGTCCAAACCCCATTCCTACACAATCCAGACACCCATACCATGAGAAGTTAGACAGCATCCAGGAGCTAGATTCTGATTTAGACAGCAAATTTTCTTTTACTATTTGATGAAGTAGTCAACCAACCATCTCATAGAAACAACATTGTAGACTATGGTTCTACGGCAGTTGGTCCTCACTGGGTGTGATAAGAAAACACTTGAACCATCTGCATTTTAAATATCCTACGAACTGTAGGAACCTCCAAAAGTTGTAAAATGAAAAGTCGCATTGTTTCTCAAACTAACTGGAGAAGATATATTCCTACCAATAGTCGCCTATTTGTTCTCATCCTCTCAAAGTATTTCATTCACAAAATAAGTAAAATTTAAATTCCAGAAGTTTTATTCGCTCTGATTAATTTGATAAATGCTCTACTGCCTAATAGGTCAAACTCAATCTATTTGTAAGCTCTTTTTTCACCCAATAATTTCTGATACTTCTTCACAGTCCCTTACAGCTTAAACTCCTTTTTGTCAAAAGATACGAACGAAAACAATCAGATAATACCACCCAAGCCTAGACAATTAATTAATTTGATGACTCATAAGATCAACTCCCAAGTCTTGCATGTTGCATAATGGAGCAATAAGTGGCACGAACTAACAGCTACAATCAATATAGCAAATAAAGTTGAGACAAAGAAGCAATACCAAACAACTAATCAATATTTTAAATTCTGCCTTCTTTCCGTATAGGATACAGTATGGCTTCGTCATTGAGAGTCACTACTGATACACGCCAGTGTTCCACGCCTAAACAGCTAAAAGCATGTGCAAGGTTATAAAATTTCACTGAAGACCTACACACCACTCCCATTCCCAATTCTTTTTCATGATTTGTTTTCAAAATTGGAACACAAATTCACATCAAGGTATAGTATTTCAGGTTCTCCATATACTCCTTGACATTATAGATGAAACAAGAATTCACAACAGTTAAGATGGGGTTGCCCTTAACCCCTGATGCAGCCTAACAAAGTTGATGATAAATGTCTGAATACAAGCTTAATGCAACAGTAAATTTTATAAGTACCACCATTTTCAATAGGCAGCTGCATCACATCGATCTTAAATTATAGTGTTAGTTTTCTGATGAGAAAGAAAACATCATCTACAAGCTTAAGATTAAATCAAGAAGGAAAATCAATCGTCAGAAAGGAAAATAGAAGAACAACGATAAAAGAGATGCATTTAAGACATTATAATTGCAGTCTCTAGATTCCCACTCTAAGATAACAGACCCCAGCGACTGTCAAGAGCTTTGACATGTACTCCAGCCATAGAACCAGCAAAAGAGAACAAGAAAGTAGAAGAGAATTGATAGAGGGGATAAGAGAATAGAGAGAAGAAGATAAATAGAGAGGAGAGAAGAATAAGGGGGAGAAATCCTGCAAACTCACAAAGAATTGCTGAATTAGGTTAGACTTGATTCTGGTACTATTGCCTTTCCTGAAGATCAGGCTAAAATTTTCTTTTATACTTACATCAGAAAAACTAAGACAAACCCTACTTGAATTGCAAGGAAACAAACATAACAGAATGGGAATCTAAAGAAAAACCATTTTCTAAAGCTGGGAACCATTTATTTCATTCATCCTCTGTCAAATCTAAATCACTAGACACGTCACATTCCCTTGGCTCGACACTTGCTTGGATCCCCTACTATCATTCTCATCTTTTCCCTTGTATTCTCGGATTGTGACAGCAACCTCCAATAACCTGAGAATCTCAAAATTTTATTTCCTTTTATCCTAAAACCGAATTAATGACCATAAGCACACGATGTAAATATAAATTAGTCCCTCTTCTAGTGGTGAATTCCACATGACCAATCTGTGGCATCAAAAACTCTAAACTAGTGTAAAAACCATTACCATCAGTAACCTAAAATGGTTGAACGAAGTGCACCCCTAATCCCTGCGGGTAAGTTCACAGCAAAGCCAAGACCAACCAATGGAACACCCATCAGTATCAAACTTGATAGACTTCTCTAATGGTTATTTTGAAAAGCAAACAAAAAAAATCAAGAAAGCTCCCAAAGAACTATATATGCATATGTTATAATATTTGGTGACATAATAAAATCTTTAGATGGAAGCCCATCCAAGGAAAATCTACTGTAGCCATTTGATTGCGCGCGAGTTCATAGACTTACTAGGTAAAGCGTAAATATGATTCAAGCATTAACTTTTTCTTTCCTTCACCTCAAGTTTGACAAAATTTTAGACAATGTTTGAGGCATAGAAGAAAATAAGTCCTTCTGTAATACCTGTGCTAATGAATTGTGCATTCTTAACTCATCCAACACATTCTTTCTCAATTCAGTGATTGATAGCTTTGCATCATCATCATCAGCACAGTCTTCTGCCAATTCATACCTAATTAAACAGAAAAGAATGAAATTGTAAGTTTAGCCCCCTATTTTTACATAGACCTCTCCAGTAACTTCTTGTATTTTTTACTATGTTTCTAAAAGTATAACGGACCACCTCGTACATAGTACCCAATTTTCCCAAATAATCTACTCTAATCCTCATATTGGTATTCTTGGAAAGCTGGAAGAAATAATGGAAAGAAAATAAAATAAAAATATTCCAATAGCAAGTTTAATTTAATCTGACTCGTCTTTCTATAAAAAAACGAATTTGGCCGTCCCGATTGCAAGGAAAGAAAAACTAAAAATCTGACATTCTTGATTACCAAGACAATCTTGAGCATACTTTCTTCAGTTGTTAATTTCTCAAACAATCTAGAGATCACATCCAATCATCCGGAAGTACTTGAGACATGTACATGCATTATTAATTTCTTTCCAAATTAATTAAAAATTAAAATTAAAATTAAAATTAAAATCAAAATCATTGAAGTTTCTCCCTTAACCACTACTACCTTTGTTGAGATGAGATGATTATAAGATTCAATCTCGATTCACCAACACGAAGAGTCTCGTATGATCTAAACTACATGACTATTTGTTGGTCAACCTCTACTTCAATCAGCACCCAGACGTGTCCGAGAAACATGTCATTCAATATGAACTTATAATTTGAAATGGACGACCAAATTCCATAAATATAGACAGAAAACTCGGAAAAGCCCCCAAAATATCATCCGTTGAACAAAACAAAGAAAATTAAGAAATTCTAAGGTGCAACACTTGCTAAGGAACCAATTCGAAACTATAATTTCAAATATATAAAAACATATATAACTCCGGGTCCTGATTCAGCACCTAATTTCTTTCCACCTTCCCAGCAAGCAAGAAAAAAAGAGGCAGAAGACAACACTAAAAAGAAAAAGAAAACAAGAAGAAGAGAGAAAAGAACATAAACTCACGCTTGAGCAAAGGCCTTAAGGAAATGAACATCTTGAGCGATATAATGCCGGAAAATCTCGATTCTGAGAGTCCCGGAAGCCAAACAGAGAGAGAAAGGAGAGTACATGGCAAAAACAGACTCTCTTCTGAACTTGATCCATAATCTTCCCGCAGTCCCTTCCTCCGTACTGGCGGTGATGGAAGATGCCGACTTAGAGGTAATCCCCGCTGCCATTGGAATCGACGCCGTGCGAGGGGGTGACAACGAGTCGATACAGCGAGATCGAAGCGAGTCGAAGCGGAGAGCGTGAATGCGAGTAGGGAAGAAGAGTGCGGTTTTGATTGGGTTCGGAGCGAAGAAGAAAGAGAAAGGGAAACGCATCAATGGAATTACAGAGAGCGAAAGTTGAGAATTTTATTTGTTGTGTATCAAATGGGAGGGAATTTCCATCCAGTGAAGTATTATGCAGGTAGATTTGTCGTTTTGTGTTTTTTTATTTGAATAAATTAATTTTAAAAAAAAATATTATTTTTATTAAAAT